ACCTGCAAGAAAGAAACTTGTATTTCTTTTTTAATGACTTTCATTTTGTGGGCATTAGTTTGATTCTTCTGGGTCCTAACTTACTTTTCTGGATGAATTAGACTGTCTTTAATTTGCTGCTTGATGCTTGTGTGGGAGTGAGCCATGCTTTGTTTCCAGAACTTCTTCCCTGTGGGATGTTGAGGTGTTAGTGCCAATTTTTTTTTTTTTTTCAAAGAAGGATGGAAGAGTCAAGTTTAGTACTAAGGATTAACTCAGCAGTGGTTGCTAAACTCTTTGAAATCATTAGATGAAAAGCAAAAATAGATCTGTACTAAGTATATATATCATTGTTATTTTTGTTATTATTGTGGGGATTTTCCATTCAGAAAGTATATTATGACTGGACAATTTTCTCTCCAGATTTATGATGTTTTGTTTAGGAAAAATGTGTTTCTTTGACAAGTACTTTTTACTTTTTACTTTTTTTTTTTCTTTCTCAAGATAACTTTCTTGTCTTGGTAGAAGCTGAACCTCACGGGATTCATTGTATCCGGGCACTGTGTTCAGTGCCCACCACAGACCCCAGCACACAGTAGGGACCGATTTGTTGAAATGAATTGAATCTAATGGCTTGCCATTTTGAAATGGTATCACATAGATGTAATTAAATATTGTTTCCTCATTAATGAATTTCATGCAAGATTTTGGCATTTTTAACCATTTTCTTTTTGAAATTCCAATTCTCCAGGTTTCATGGTCTGTCCAAGGATTCTAGCACTGTATCTGTGACCTAGGTAGGGAGAAGGAAGCCAGATTCCATAAGGACAGTTTCTGCCCAGGCTTCTGCCCGGTGTTTTCCCTGGCTGTACTTCCCACCCCACCAGCCCACACCTGCACTGCAGAGGCACGGGACCAGTTCCACCCAACACCTTCTGGCTGTCCTGAAATAAACCGACAGAACTTGCCACTCCCGGTACACCACCAGGCTCTGAGTTGGTTAACAATTCGCTGAGAAGACAGCTCTAGAATTGCTTCTGCCTACGAAGGGTGAGGATGGGTATACGTAAGAGATTTCCAACTTGACAAATCCATTTGAGAAGGCTGAATTTGCAGTTTGAGGGAGTTTGTTCAAGGAGCATCTGTATGAACATTCTGCTGGAGCAGCCTGCGGACCGAAATTCACAAGGCTGGCACTTCGAGGTTCAACTTGATTCTACAGGCTCTGTGGTCTCATCCCAAAGTCACAACCCACACAACTGGCATTTTCCCTGGTGGCTTGGATTAGACAATAATCTCCCAAGCTTTACTTCCGAGGCAAGATCTTAAAAAAAAAAAAAAAAAAAAAAAGAAGTTTGCATTTCTACAAGCAATGGATGTCAATTTCTGTTGTTCCACATTCTTACCATCATTTGGTATTGTCAGGGTCTTTTNAAAAAAAAAAAAAAAAAAAAAAGGTGGGGGTGGGGACAGATAGGGAAGGGATTGTGATCTACGTATCTGTTCACTTCCAGTCAGGGATTTGTGCCCCAATGTCCCTGGGTTGGTGGAGGCATCAGCCTTGAGGGTGGTGCCACAAAGGGCTGTTCCCTGAGACAAACAAGCAGGGAGGGTTGGTTTTCTTAGCTGCAAGTGGCTCTCTGGGAGCTAGGGAAGAAAGGAAAGGGAATGACTCTGAGAGTCTCCTGTCCTGCAAACCTCTTTGCCAGTGGAGTTGAGATACTGCCCAGTCTTCCCTAGACACTAGTTGCCTACTCTTCCATCAATTACATTTTAAAGAGCTATAGCCAAACACCACCAAGGTCTCTATCTTTGAGGATTTCTGCTAATCGTTACATTCAGATAAGAAATCCCCAGGCATTTCTCAGTGTTTCCAGAAATGTGTTACTAATTCAAAGGTGCTGAAATCCGAAGGTTATTTACATACAAATTGTGTAACAACCACCCTGGAATCTATTTGCAATTCCAACATGCTTTCTTGAGAGTAAGGTAATTGTGTCTCCATTTTAGGCATGGTGTGGGGATGAGAGGGAAATGCTGTTGTTCTAGAGGCAGAGATTAGTGCTTTTTTTTTTTTTTTTTTTGAGACGGAATCTTATTCTGTTGCCCAGGCTGGAGTGCAGTGGCATGATCTCGGCTCAGTGCAACTTCTGCCTCCCAAGTTCAGGCAATTCTCCTGCCTCAGGCTCTCGAGTAGCTGGGATTACAGGCATGCACCACCCCACCTGGCTAATTTTTGTATTTTTACTAGAGACAGGGTTTCACCATGTTGGCCAGGCGGGTCTCGAACTCCTGACCTCGTGATCTGCTTGTCCTGGCCTCCCAAAGTCCTAGGAATACAGGCGTGAGCCACTGCACCAGGCCAAGTGCTTCTTTGAAAACATCTACTGTTACAGCAAATAGCAAACTGAATGCACACTTTGCAGAAGATTGAGATTTCTTTTAATCTATATAAAAAAGCAGCTGTCCCTCTCCACTCGCCCCCTCTCTTCTGCCATCAAAAGGAGGAAAACAACAATGAAATTACATTTTTCAGAAAAATATTGTTTATGAAGCCAAAATCAAGATGATCAAGGCCTCATTTTGGTAAACATTCATAGGATTTTAATTTAGCACAACATTTTAGATATTTTTCTTCTCTGGCCATTGGAAAATTCATTTCCTACCCATTTCCTTCTACCTAATGAAGCATCATTAATAGATTCCATAAGGTGATGTTAAATAAAACCCCACACACAACAAAAGCAATATAAATGGAATTATCAAGAGGGAAAGAGTGAAGTAGTTAACAAATATAAATGGATCAGCTCATACAATTATTTTAAAATTTTTTTCCAAGCCAGGGTCTCCCTGTCACCCAAGCTGGAGTGAAGTGGCACTCTGCTCACTGTAGCCTTGACCTCCCTGGGCTCAGATGATCCTCCCACCTCAGCCTCCTGAGTACCTGGAACCACAGGCATGAACCACCATGCCCAGCTAATATTTGTATTTTCAGTAGAGATAGGGTTTCACTACATTGCCCAGGCTGGTCTCAAACTGCTGGACTCAAGCAATCTACCCACCTTAGCCTCCCAAAGTGCTGGGATTATGGATGTGAGCCACCACACCTAGCCTCAGCCCATACATTTTTTAAATGATTTCTTTTCCTACAACGTAAAAATTAAAAATGAAGTAAGTTGTATAGATATTCATTTATATAATCATTGCATCTAAAACCGTTACACTGTAGAATAGTACAAATAAAAAATAAAGTAATTAACATGATCCAGGGAGAGCTTAATCAAGGCCAACACTCTGTTTGCCTCCTGTTAATTTGTAACTAGTTTGTTGCTACTGCTATACTTTTGATACCCAGCTTTGTAGACTGCAAGCAAAACACTGGAAGCTCAACAAATTGCTCTGATATCTTTTTGTGCTAAATTGACCCTTATTGATACTGTTAAAAATCTAAAGCTGCGTTCTGAATGCGTTTTCTTTGGGAAAATAAAGATTCTTTTCTTTTCTTTTCTTTTTTTTTTTTTTTTTTTTTTGAGCATAACAATTTAAGAGGAAGGGACAGGAATTACTGTTTAATATTTTCAAAAGGCAATTAGTCTGTTAACTGATCCCACCTCTATTGTATAAGTAGCATTTTAACAAAAGAACTGAGCTAACGCACTTGTAATAATAATATGTAACTTAATAATATGACCTTTGTATGGTGTGTTGGAGTTTACAAAGCACTTGTGTATTATCTCATTTAAACTCCACAACAAAAAAGGAGAAAGTGCTATTATTATTCTACACTTGACAGATAAGAAAACAAGTTGAGAATATTTAAACAACTTGCCTCCAGATAACCCAGGTATTAAGATGCAGGGCCAGGAATTGAACCCTCGGCTTATATCCCAAAGCCTGTATTCCTTCACTATACTTACAGCTGCCACCTAAAAATTGCAGAAGTACTACATGGGGCTCTGAGAAATAATCTTAGAGCTTTGGGCAGAGCTTCTCTCAGTAACTGATAAAACCCACTCAGATCCCTTCCTTCCTGACAACTCACAGCTCAAATGTCATGGAAAAGAAACACTTCCTACCTCTCTCGCCTTTCTCCCGCCCCCGACAACACTCTTCTATTCAGGCTGTCAGATTCATCTTGCAAAGCATTTGGGACTCAGGGAAGGGGGGGTGCACATTGCCTTGATTCTCATGACAATGACAACTAAACTGTTACATTAATTGTTGAGGGGGAAGAAAGGGTACAGATTATTCACAAAGAACAGCTAATTCCCAGCTTACCTCGGGTTATGAAATACCTGCTTTAACTTGATCTTAACCCTCTCCTAGCTCAGATCTGAAATCATCTACTGGAATTCAGTTTTAGACAGAAAGACACACAGCTTATAAAGCTATTCACTCCCAGAAAATTAGGAATAATATACTGTCTGAGAAACTGAATTAATTAGATATCAGCGGTCAATTAACTAAAAGGTCACACAGAGCTGGCACCAAGGCCAACCAAAGCCACGGCAACACAAGGGTATGGGGGAGGCGAGGGTCCATGAGTAATAAGACAACTGGTTTGCAGCAAGAATTTTTCTTCCCTGGAACCAAAGATCCTTGACTATCCTATTGAAAACAGACTTATATTAGCAAAATCTTGACCAATAATACAAATCAGGCTGTGCTCACATGCTAGGTAGTAAAGCAACTGAACTGCAAATGGGGAGAGCTAAATACACCATGGAAAAACACAGGTGGGCTTCATGGATGGGGAGAACTTTGGGTTACCCTTTGGGGAGTATTTGGTTAAGCCATTGTTGATCTCATTCTGAAGAGTGACTCAGAGAAATCTGTGTTCTGGGAATATAACTTTTTTTTTTCTGTTTGTTTGTTTTTTTAAAAGAGATAGGATCTCACTATGTTGCCCAAGCTGGTCTCAAATGCGTGGGCTCAAGGATTCTCCCACCTTGGCCTCCTAAAATTCTAGGAGCCACCATGTCCAGTCATGAATGCTGATTTTTTAAAATGTACAAGGGAATTTGGAGAAGGAAGATGCTTAGAAGGACCTGAGACAAGGAAGAGCAAAATCTGAGGGACACTGCAGAGCACCTTCTAGAATATGTGATATACACATGGATTAAAAGGAATCCAATAAAGACATCCTCAACAAGGGACCTGGGCTCTAGCTGGAGCGCTTCTGCTAATTTGTTATGAGACCTCTGACTTCAGGCAAATTGAACTTTTCTGGACCTCAGTTCTTTCATCTGAAAACAAGTAAGTTGCCTTCTTTTTCTAACATTAAAAACATTCTTGGGTCCTGGCCTGGTGGCTCACGCCTGTAATCCCAGCACTTTGGGAGGCCCAGGTGGGCAGATCACTTGAGGTCAGGCATTCGAGACCAGCCTGGCCAACATGGCGAAACCCCGTCTCTTACTAAAAATACAAAAATTATCTGGGTGTGGTGGTGCATGCCTGTAGTCCCAGCTACTTGGGAGGCTGAAGCAAGAGAATCTCTTGAACCGAAGAGGCGGAGGCTGCAGTGAGATGAAATCGTGCCACTGCACTCCAGCCTGGGCGACAGAGTAAGACTCTGTCTCAAAAAAAAAAAAAAAAATTATGATTTTAACAATTCAAACCTTAAGGACAGGGGAAATCATGTTTTAGTTGAAAGAAACAATGAAATTGAGGGGAAAGAAAAGCTTCTTATTGAGGGATTGTATAACTCTATTTTGTCTGAGGATGCTGTGGCCATACTCTGAGTATAACATCATTCTATCTAAGGATGCTCTAGTTTTACTATAATCGTAACTCTCTATTATTTTCTTTCTTTTTTGGAGACAAGGTCTTGCTCTGTTGCCCAGGCTAGAATGCAGTGGTGTGACCACAGCTCACTGCAGTCTCAACCTCCCAGGCTCGAGCAATCTTCCTGCCTCAGCCTCCCAAGTAGCTGGGACTACAGGTATGTGCCACCATGTCTGGCTAATTTATTTTTTGTAGAGATGAGGTTTCACTATGTTTCCCAGGCTGGTCTAGAACTCTCAGCCTCAAGAGATCCTCCCAGCTCAGCCTCCCAAAGTGCTGGGATTACAGGCATGAGCCACCACACCTGGCCTCTATTACTTTCTGAGGATGTACTGGTATGCAGATGTTTCTCAATTTAACTCCAGATAAACCCATTGTAAGTTGAAGAATTGTGTTGAACCATCATAAGTTGGGGATGTCTGTACTCTGAGTGTAATTACATTATTCTCTAAGAATGCCTCAGTCATGTGTAGCTCTATTATTCTGTGAGGTTGTCTAAGTCATATACTGAGTATAACTCAATCTCTGAGTTTATTTCAGGTACTTCCATGGTTCTAAGAATATTTTCGGCTAGATAACCACTTCCAAATACTCCACTTGTATTTCTGTTGCTAATTATAAAATGTTTTTACTGGTAAATAGCCATTACATCTAAAATTCTTCCGCTTTTTCTTCTACAGAATGCAAAGTCTTAATGGTAGATTTCTAAGTAACCACTGAATTTGAAAAAAGTCTTTCTCTCACTAGTTAGAGGATAGAGACCGAGTCTCCATTCGCTTCTGCATTAACAGGCACCAGTGTTGTCCCTTGCACATAGCAGACCAGTAAAAGTTTTTGAATGAATGAATGGGTCAGTAAGTAAATGAATGACTGAGTTCCAACTCTCTAAGCTTTGGAAAAACTGCCATAGCCTTATCAAACAGAGAAGTAATCAAGAACACTCCGTATTGCAGTTAAAAAAAAATACCCATATCTGGTTATACAGTTGTCCCTTGGTATCTGAGGGGCATTGGTTCCAAGATACCCTCCCCAGCAGGATACCAAAATCTGAGGATGCTCCAGTTACTCATATAAAATGGTGTTGTGTTTGCATATCACCTACATGCATCCTCCCATGTACTTTAAATCATCTCTAGATTACTTATAATACCAATACAATATAAATGCTATGAAAGTAGTTGTTGCACTGTGTTGTTTTTATTTATGTTATTTTAATTGTTTTATTTATATTTAGAATATTTCCAATGTAAGGTTGGTGGAATCTGAGAATGTGGAACTTACAGACAGCCAATTGTCTATAGACATTCTTGGATCATGAATGTGGTATGGTGACTGTGCATGGTAACTGGCGTTCATACTGTATGTAACTCATTTCAAACAGCGATTCGTTAAAAAGAGAGAAGTCACAGGGTAGCAAATGCAAGCTTTGCTAAAAGGTGCTTACAGTATATAATGTTCCATGTTGCTTCTTTAGACAATGGTATGAAGTGTTTGGTATAGAAGTCAAGAAGAACAAATTAACCTATTGAGTGAATTTATTCTGTTTAAATGTGAGATAATTCATGATTTTTTTTTTTTTTTTTTTTTTTGGGGGGGGACGGAGTTTCGCTCTTGTTACCCAGGCTGGAGTGCAATGGCGCAATCTTGGCTCACCGCAACCTCCGCCTCCTGGGTTCAGGCAATTCTCCTGCCTCAGCCTCCCGAGTAGCTGGGGTTACAGGCACGCGCCACCATGCCCAGCTAATTTTTTTGTATTTTTAGTAGAGATGGGGTTTCACCGTGTTGACCAGGATGGTCTCGATCTCTTGACCTTGTGATCCACCCGCCTCGGCCTCCCAAAGTGCTGGGATTACAGGCTTGAGCCACCGCACCCGGCCCGATACTTTATTCATTAAAAAAAAAAACTGAACCTCAGTCTAGTGATAAGGTTTTTGTTTGTTTGTTTTTTGTTTTTAATTTTTTGAGACACAGTCTCACTCTGTAGCCCAGGCTGGAATGCAGTGGCACAATCTCCCCTCACTGCAACCTCTGTCTCCCAGGTTCAAGTGATTCTCCTGCCTCAGCCTCCCAAGTAGCTGGGACTACAGGCGTGCACCACCATGCCTGGCTAATTTTTGTATTTTTAGTAGAGACAGGGTTTCACGGTATTGGCCAGGCTGCTCTTGAACTCCCAACCTCATGATCCACCCACCTCAGCCTCCGAAAGTGCTGGGATTACACACATGAGCCGCCGTGCCCAGCCGGTAAGGTTTTTAAAATTCTTGGCTGTCACCATAACGGAATGACAAATGAGATTTCTCTCTGTCTGAGAAAATTAGGTAATTTAAGGAAAGTGAAAAGTCTCAGGCATGGTACATGAGTCCGATTATATCAAGTTCTTCGTATTAGTTTCGGGTAGTATTTTATTAGGGCCAGAGTTATCAGAAGAGCTACGGGATGTGAACATCAGAATGACTATAACATAATGGTCTTATTAAAGCAAATCAGTGTGTGGGGGTTACGGCAATGAATGAGGCACTCGGCTGCTTTCAATGCAGGAACTGCAAAGTAGGCTGTGGGGTTACACCAATGAGCCACTTGGGGTGGTGCTGCCAAACATTTCAACAATTACTTATTCAGGAAGTGCCCCCACTATGGTGGTAAACCCTGAGATCCTAAGTAAATTAGACCATGAGTTGGGTGAGGAGCTCCCATGTTTGCAGACGAGAGGGCATAAAATCTCAAGATAGTTGCAGGTCAAACTAGTGTGGAGTTGAAATAATGCTGTAAAACTTCAAGTAAATAAAGGCCCTCCTCAAAACGGCTTAGGTTTGAAGGAAATGACTTCAAGTATATAACTGAGTTAATGGATATAGACCATGTGTTTACCGTCTGATTTATAGTCTAACCCTACAGACTCAATAATGGTCTATTTGTAAGATATAGACCATGGATTTATAGTCTAACCCTACAGACTCAAATATTTAATAACAGCTTCCCATCCTGCAATGTAATTCATAGATGATATAACCTAATTTCACCTATAATCTCAAAAATCACTATATAGCGAGGTACCTGGAGAAGTCAAATTCATAGAAACAAGTTAGAATAGTGGATGCCAGGGGTTGGGGGTGGAGGGAATGAGGAGTTACTGTTTAACGGATAGAGTTTCTGTTGTGCAAGATGGAAATTCTCTGGATGGATGATGGTGATGGTTAGCACACAATGTGAATGTACTTAAGGGCCACTGAACTATAAGCTTAAAAATTGTCAAGATGGTAAATATTACATGCATTTTACCACAATTCTAAAAAATCATGATGCTGCTCTACTTATAAAAGAGACATAAAGGGCAAGTCATTTATTTTGAATTAATACAAACAACAGAATGTTAAGTTTGGGCACAGCTATGCCGGAAGAAGTGATATGGTGGTGAGAAGCTGGTTATCTCTGGAATCACCATGAATGTGTGTGCTACAAACCCAGTCGGCTGTAAGTGCCTTTCCAGAGAGCAATGCTGCTGTGCACAGGATTTGCCAAATGGTGGCTAACTCAGAAAGTTCTACAGAAAGCCAGGCACAGTTTTGTCTATATGTATATGGTAGTTGCATTTTTTTCTTTAAAATCTTGCAAAATATATGTTATGTTTATATGTAAAACAAATTGAATTCATAGATAATTCTAAGCAGATTTTTCACCTACAGACTGGGTTGGAAGTGAAAGTTGTGAAGGACACAGGATAAGTTTTTGTGTTTCAAGACTGTTCCTTGCATTTGCTGGACATCTCCTATCTCTGGTCCCTGCCTACCAAATCAGTAGCACCCCAAAGTCATTGTGACAGCCCAAATCCCACCAAGTTTCCATCAAGCCTCTTCTTGAAAGCCACTGGCATGTGCTGGCCATACTTTGTGCCCCAGATTCAGGCACCCTCTCAGTAGTGCTGGTCAACTCCCTCATTCCACTATGATTTCCTCAGTCTTGGAGCTCATAGTTTGATTGCCTCTTATTGATTATAATTAATAAAAAATAAAATGACTTTTAACAGTGCTGTCTAATTAGCTGAAAACCAAATAATATAGGATCTTAAATAAACACACTCTCCTGTTTTATAAACATACAACTCCTTTTATAAAAGCTGACAAGTTAGCTGATGTCAGATATTTGTTCTAAATATGAGCCCTCCATGCACATTGCCATGGGACTTGTGATGCCCTTAGGTAGCACAGTATCCTCCAGCCATTTGAGAAGGATTAACTAACACTCAAATTGGGTCCCAGTTAACACATACTTCTACTGTGGCCTTTCCAAACACACAAAAAGTAATTCTCAGAGTGCAAGGGCTTTGAGGGAAGGCCTTTGAGTGCCTCCCACATAGCTCTGAGCACGGAAGGCACTCCAATACATTACCTGTTGAACTGAATTTGTCTATGTAAAGATATTTATAATAACTACCAATATTAATTAATCAAAACTCACTAGCTTCAGTCCCTCCAGATAGACAGCATTTTAATGTACTATATTTCACTTTCAAGTAAGTCATCTCACAATTGATAAAGAGACATGTGAGTTGCTGTGAAGATCAAAAGCTTTTGCACAGGTTCTTCTTCCAGTGATTTTTATGATAGATAAAATGAAGAACCTGGAATCTGCAGAGTAATTATGTTTGATAGTTTCACGTCGTCATTTATTCATTCCCAGGATAAAACTCTTACTCCTGGGCCCTACGAGAAACAAGTTTGGCTAGGACAAGCAACCCCCAATTATAGTGATATCTTTGCTGTGGAAAAAAAAAATAAACGTGTAATTAAATTTTGCAGGTGCAACAATCCTGCTACCACGAACCATGGAGGAAATCTGTGAAATTATCCTGAGCAATTTTCTCCAGTGTATTTTGGAAATTAGCCCACCTGGAGACATAAACCCACAATTTCCTCTGCTATTGTCTTATCACATTCATCTTGTCTTAAACGCTGAGCCTCCTGTTGCAGAAAGAAACAGGTTTGAACACCCGAATCTCAGCAATGGACTAGAATATTTCAGAAGTTTGAATTCCAGACCCATTGACTTTCACGGTGGCTTTAAAAGACCATAAAAACCAACCGAAAGTACTGCAGGGCATAAACTAACCTGCCAGCAAAGCATCGCCGAGTGGTGGCAACTCGGATACGCGTGCAGACTTGAAAATACAGAGCGCCGAGCCAAAGCCTGAGTTCCTGGGAAACCGCGCGCAGTGTCTCCCAGGAACGTGGTGTGCGTGCGGGCAGGGCTCGGGAAACAAAGCGAGCTCACGCCAGACTCTGCGACCCCCCGGACAGGGCCGTTTCTAACTTTCCTCTCTGTCTCTCCAGGAGTGGCAGGAGGGGCTTGATGCAGACACCAGAACAAAGACAGCCAGGTCAGAAATGGTGTGGTCTGTTTCTGCAAGTCCCGGTCTTTGTGACCCGGGGAAATGGCTTAGCCTCTAGCTTGCCAGCTAGAAAAGAAAAGCCTTTATTTGCTCAAGTGCTTTGGGATCTTCAAAGGAAGACTCTGAACTATTATTCAAATATTTGTACATCATTTAGGCTGTGCTCTTCAGACTTCATTATGCTCCCCCAAACTTCCCAGGGAGTTTGGATCACCTAGAAACTTTAGCATGCCATCTTCCCTTCCTCCTTCTGCCCTCCCTAAAGCCTCATCGAAAGCACTGATCTTTTGATTATTGGAGCTTCTGAAACAGAGCCAAGGATGAGGCTTTAAGTGTCAACGGCGACAATATTCAGCGTTACCTTGCTATTAGCATGCCTTGCTTGCTTTTTTACTTCGTACAGATGCTTACACATTCCAGACACATGGACGTGTAAGTAAATACATGTACTCACAGAAGAATACACCCCATACCTGTCTTGGCACTCCTATGTCCATACTCCGGTGGATAGATAGCATCGCTTCCGGGAAGCTTTGCTAACAAACTGCTCCGCTCGCTTCAGTAGGGGTAGATGTCCCTTTACAGCCCTCTCCAGGTTCTTATACACACAGCACTTTTCACCGCGCCACGTAATTGTGTGTTATTGTTTGTCGTACCATTTGACTACAAATTATTTGAAGACAAAAACTGTATTGTTTATTGCTGTTTCTCCTGTGATTAGTACAATACATAGCTCATGGTAGGAATTCAGTGCATATTTGTTAAATGGATGCATGGATACATCATCCATCTTCTACTCCATTCTGAGATCTGGGTGCTCAAACGTGTTCCCATTCATCCACTTCACAAACATATGCTGATTTTCTATCGTATAAAATGTATAAAAATACATTTTAAGGCGGGGCGCTGTGGCTCACACCTGTAATCCCAGCACTTTGGGAGGCTGAGGCAAGTGGATCACCTGAGGTCAGGAGTTCCAGACTAGCCTGACCAACATAGTGAAACCCGGTTTCTACTAAAAATACAAAAAATTAGCTGGGTGTGGTGGCGGGTGCCTGTAATCTCAGCTACTCCGGAGGCTGAGGCAGAAGAATCACTTGAACCCAGGAGGCAGAGGTTGCAGTGAGCTGAGATTGCGCCATTGCACTCCAGCCTGGGCGACAAGAGTGAGACTCCTTCTCAAAAAAAGTTTTTCTTTCATGTATTTTTGCCAGTCTCTTGGCTTCCTTAATTTCTTAATCTTTGCAAGCTGCTTTTAAGCTTTCAAGAGTTGAACATGCTCCTGGTAGCCATTTCAAACAATTCAGAAGTAAATATAGAGGGAAAACAATAGTCTTTAAAAATCATTCCTTATCAATCCTACTCCCTTTTTCCAGAGAAAACTGCTGTTAAAGCCCTTCTTCACATTTATAAACACATATTTAAATATAGCAACAAAACTATTTTTAAAAATGGGGTTATATTTTAGGATTTGTTCTGTCTTGCCATTTCTACTTAATATATAACATATTTTATATATGTAGGCTCAGAATATTTATTCATTCAGGTATTCATCTACCTATTTATTTACTCATTATTAAAATGTTCAATGCACTTGTTTAAAAAATTGAACAGTGCAGAAGATATAAAATGAAAAGTAAACCTGCCTTGGTCCATTATCACTCTTTTCTCATTCCATATTGCAGAGGTAAATACTTGTAACCATCCATAGTTTTAGTAGTTTTGGTGGTTATCCCCACAACTATGAATCATTTCTTCATTTGTCAACATTAGATAGTATCTGTCAACTCCTTGATAAGTTGAAGAATTTAGTGGTTTATATTTAGTTATCTTAGTGTTTACATTAATAACCTTATATCAAATACTATATATTCCATCTTGTCCCATCAACCTTACCCGGAAAATACTGTACCCTGCTATGTGCTTTGATGTGAGAACACCTACACTCTCCCTCCACTTCTTCAAACTTCTCTCAGCTATACCATCCATCACTGTCAGGGTTTATGATATTTACATCTGGGCTTTAGTAGTTTCTATTTATTCTGTCCAATGCCTCTGCTTTTGGCTTCTAGAAAATTTTTGAGATTTCTTATCTGTTAATGATACCTCCTTTGTTGTTAATGTTGTTATGAATCAATTTTTTTCAGAGTGGCTTTGTCGCCGTGTTGATGGGGCTTAGAGAGGTGGTAGAGATAAACCCAGTTGCTCATTGTGGCATCTCGAACAGGGCTTTCCTTTTCTTTTCAATGTGATTATTTCTTTCAGATAAATTCATGAGTATTACTTAAATTTTTTTTTTTTTTTTAGACAAGGTTTTTCTCTGTCATCCAGGCTAGATGCAGTGGCTCAATCATAGCTCACTGTAACCTTGAACTCCTGAGCTTAAGGATCCTCCCTCCTCAGTCTGCTGAATAGCTAGGACTATGGGAGTGCAACACCATGCCTGGCTAATTATTTTTAGATTTTGTTTTTTTTAAGAGATGAGGTTTTGCTATGTTGTCCAAACTGGTCTTGAATGCCAGACCTCAAGTGATCCTCCTGCCTCAACCTCCCAAAGTGCTCGCATTACAAGTGTGGACCACCATGCCTGACTGAGCATTTCTTAATTTTGATCACCCATAAATACAACAGTGTCTGTGATCTGAATTGTGTTGGGAAGAATTTAGGGATTTGGGAAGAAATCAGTGAAGATGATTATTTTTGGGTCATCACTGTAACTCACTGAGTATTTTTCTATTTGTCCCATCTCCACCTTGCTTTTTTTTTTTTTTTTTTTTTTTTCAGGGTGGAGTGCAGTGGTAAATCTTGGCTCACTGCAACCTCAGTTTTTGGGGTTCAAGCAATCCTCCTGCCTCAGCCTCCTGAGTAGTTGGGACCACAGGCGTGTGCCACCATGCCTGGGTAATTCCACCTTTTCTCTTAGTAAGTGGTAATATTGACATTCTTCTGTAAATGTTTTTGCTCTTCCATAAATCACTTTTACAAACTTTGGTAGTATATTGTTGTTTATAAAAGAACTGAACTGCCTTTAATGAAAATGTATTTACACTAAAATTAAAACTCTATCAAGGATTTAAAATTTCTTGTATCACAAACTATTGTCAATATTTGTTCCTATTTATCTTCCCAAGTGAATAGTAAGTTGCCTGGAGAATTACAAAGAACTTCCAAGGTTGCATCTTTTTCGTTTTTTAAATAAAATTGTACCTAGCAAAGTGTATGCCATGTAGCTGGTGTTCCATTTGGTTTCCTGAACCCAACTGAACCAACCTTGGCCATACCTGTGGATTCTCCATTGCAGACTCCGGGCTCTAAGCCATGGGAATAGTATTTCTTCCCGAGGGGACTGCATGAAGGAGCCCTTGACAGGCCTGTGAAATTCCCTTTTAATGATAATTATATATGACCTCTCTTCCCCTCCTGTACGCCAATATTAAATGCACCAGGGAAACTGATTTCAATTACAGTGGATGTCTTACCCCTTCCGGTTGATCAAATTACACATCCACACTTCCGCGGAGGTTATCCAGTGTAATTCTTAGTACTGGGGAGCATGAACAGGGTCCCAATTACTTAAGAAGTGCTCATTAGGAATTAGAAAGCAAATATAATTACCACATGCCAATTGCATAGGAAATAGGAAGGCTTCTCGACAAAGCCAGGCTTATTTTATGCGTCCCATATAGTTCCTACAGGATGTGTTTTTACCTGTTTTGTTTTGTTTTTCAGTCTGCCAAATACCGGATGCATATACAAGATGAAGACTTAAGAAACAGGAAATGTACAGACTGCAAACTCCTTTTCTCACTCCACTGTATCTCCAGCACCTAACTGCATATACAGCTGATGCTCTAAACACACTTACTAGATCTTTCTAATATCTATAGTAGAAAATCAGTTAATTTTACACAGTGTGAGCTTTTTCTCACCCTCACACACACACACAAAGCATCCAAAGTTTTGAATGTTCAGTTAGCTGTCCAGTTAGTGTTGTCTTACACACTTGGGAATCAAAACATATTTGGTGATTGGTTAATTGCTTTATTTTATGCATGACCTTAGGAATGAATTAAATTAAATAACAATTTTGCAGATGATTACAGAGAAAACAAAAGTTATAGATTTTTTCAATAATTGTCATCTGGTGAGTTCCACCTGGTTTAGATAAAGTTAACTTAGGGATTTCTGTACTGCTTCCCTTAAGAGGCTTAATTTCCTTCCTAGAATTTAATTGTGTTCTGTTAAAGTGTAAGTCTTACATAGAAATAGTTTGAGAAAAAGTCAGATTTTCCATAAATTACATGCAAAACCCCGGAAGTTATTGCCCATCATCAAATTTTCCTATTTTCATTTCTTGTTAGCATGCAGACATATTTAATAATGATGAAATAGTCCATAAATGGCCAAGCCGCAGCCTGGGAACAATAAGTGGCACTTAAGAGGTTTTTATTTTGACTGTAGCTAGAAGGGAAAAACTAAAGCCATTTCTTCAGCTGGGCACCCTCTCTTGGTGCTTAGGTCTCCCATACATTGGAAGGAGCCCCGTTTATCCTTTGAGTCACAAAGGAAGGATAGGGTGATGCAACTGTGAGCCACCCCCATTTTTGCCTCATCTCCTCTATCTACTTAGCTATGTGGAGAAGTTAGCCGATGGTAACCTAGTCCTTGAGGATTCTCTCGGAAGCAGTACGTTCCATTTTTAGTAAGGCTTTCCATGTTTCTGAGCGTTCAGGCTCCACCTGCCCAAGTGGGTGACTTAGAAAGAGAGGTGATTCATTGAGTCAGCAAACATCTATTGAGCACCCACCCTATGCCAACCCTCGTTCCAGACTCTGGGGCTAGGCAATGAGTAAGGCAAAGGTCTTGCTCACTTCTGGCTGGGGAGACAAGAATCACACAAATGCATAATGTGATGTCAGGTGTTCTGAGTGCAGTGACAACAAGGACAGTAGGGTCAGCGGATACTGAGTGATGGGCGGAAGGCCCTGAGCAGTGGGCGCGGCTTGCATCTAGTAAGGGAGCTTAGGACACGCAGCGTGATACTGGAGCTCCGTGTGGTTCCCTGGTGAACTTGGCACCTTTATCATTCAGTCAGATCTAAATTCTGATAAGGACAGGGTACACTCTGTTTACCAACACAGCTGGGCTAGCAGCTCTCGGCCTGCCTTAGTGTGGAGCCCAAGTATGTGATTTATTGTTGGTATTGTTATCGCCTCTGTCGGCCTTGGCAATGAAGTTCCCATTGTTTCTAAATCTGATTTTAAAAGAAGCCACAGAAACTCGCATACCAGAGGATACCAGGAGGCAATGTGGCAAAATGGCTTAGAGCAGGGGTCAGCATACCATGGCCTGAAGCTAATCCAGCCCA